TTGTTTTTCTACTTCAAAATAAGATATGTGCAGTGTGCATAGGAATTTGTTCATAGTTTTTTTTTAAACTATAGTCCGGCCCTCCAACGGTCTGAGGGACAGTGAACTGGCCCCCTGTTTAAAAAGTTTGAGGACCCCTGATCTATGCAATGTTTGTTGAAAAAAAATTTCCTATTAAGAATTCCATTTTGTCAATATTGTATTTCATTATTTTAGCTGCATCTTGTTGGTCCATTGGTTCTTTTTAGCTACATTGTAGGTGTACCATATTACATGCAATATAGGGGTAACAAATAAAGAAACACCCTATTACCTTTTTATGTACTTTTTCCATCTCCTCTTAATTAATCATTTATCATTCCTAATATTTTATTCTTTACCCCAATCTTATTAATATCCCAATTGCTTAATTATCCCTTCCCAATCAATCCTTACATTCATACTCCTACCAAATTAATAAAATATCACCAAACATTGCCATGATTATGCATAAATTAATTTTCCCCTTGATAAATATTCATACTCCTTCTTTCCATTCATACTACTAACAATAAATTTGTCATAAACCCAAATAACATCATTATAAATAGGATTATACAGTTATACATTTAACATGATTTTTAACATGATTTTTTTTAATATATAAATTACTCCCATCCAACCTCACACTCATTCATTCAAACATTTTAAATTACTTATAGTGTATGCAGTCAATATTAATAGTATAATTTATCCAGCTACCATCATTATCAAAAAGAATTTCTTTATAGAACAATTTTATGGGGTCTTTTTCCAGCTAATCCTAGATCTAGCAAGCACCAAATTTTACATTTTTATACAGTTTATTTTTCTCTTTCCGTCTTCTTCTATTCTTCTGCCTCAAACCTTCCACTTGTCTGTGATCTTTACAGATCCTTTGGACTCCTAAACTTTCTGTTCTGTACCTCCACCTTTCATCTTTCCAAAGTTTACAACCTTCTTTCCTTGTCTTCTGCCGCTTTCTGTACCTTTCAATCCTTCCCTTTCTCTTGCTTCCTGCTTTCTGTCCAATTCTCTTCCCCTTTAACTGTCTCTTTAACAGTGTAGTCGTGTTTCTGGGCACTTTGCTTTTTAGCGTCTCTTTTTTTCCCCATTGAGTACGCTGTCTGTCGTTTGTGCATTTCCTGGTCGTTCTGCCACAGGTATGACCTCTTCCCCCTTTTGTATTTCTTCGAGAGACGCTGTGTGTAAATTTTGTCCCTGGGTTACACCTTCTCCTATCCCATTCTCCACACGAAATTTCCCCAGTATCTCTCTAAATGTCTCTTCACAGCTTCTCTGCACAGCCTGCTGAATTGTTTCTCCTAGGGCTTTCAAAAATTCTTCCATCTTTACTAACAGTCTCTGCCCCTTTCTCTTCTATCCATAGTCCATAGTCTGAACCAACACAAATGCAGTGTATCTCCTTTTCCCCTCAAAATGATAGCAAACTTACAATTTTCTCCGTTTCTTTCCCCGGCCGCCATTTTCTTCTGCGGAGGACATAATTCTTACAGGAGGGACTTTCTTTTAGTCTTCCAGTTTCGCTTTCTGTGTTTCTGTATTGTTGCCATTTGTAATCCTTTAAATAAGTGAATAAAAACAGCGGATGGTCGCGTTTCTTGGAACATAGCTGTCAGCCATGTCCCTCCGTTCGATCGCTTTGGCGTCAGGTCTGTCCCGGACACCCCCCGCCCTGCCGAGGAGCGGGGGGCCCAGAAAAATGTCCCTTGCACCAGCCCCCACCACCGGGTTGCTGGTCGGACTCCCCTAGCTAGCTGGGGGCCCGAACAAAAGCGAAAGTGGTTCGTGCGGGGACGGAGCTCAGCACGCTCCCACCCGCCCGCTAACGCGCCGTACCGGTTTTACTGTTTTATTGTTGTACGCCGCCCTGAGCCGCTCCGGCGGGAGGGCGGGATAAAAATTAATTAAATAAATAAATATTAAGAAGGAAAAGAATAACAGAAATTAAACTCCATATAGAACTATTTTTAAATAAAATTAAATACTTTAAATTTATTAATTTACCATTTAACCTTTGTAATGTTAATATGAAGACAGGATGATGTTAAATTATATTATGTATAGACTGTCTAGTATACACAGCTTTTGAACAACTATATGGCTTAAAATTCTTCAAATTAATATGATTTGCTTATTTTGTTATTAAACAATGTCCATTTCCTAGCTCGAGTTCCCTTTACTTGTATTTTAGTAAATACAGTGTGGTACACCCAGTGACCATGACAAAAGACTACCCAACCCTAATAGAAAAAGCAGCAATTATTTAACAACAACATTTAATTACAACAATAATAATAAGAATAACAATAATAGCAATAACTCAGATAATTCTTCATTGTAAATTAGCCAATCTTCTTAAGTAATTAAGTTTATCTTCCACCTGCTCATATTGCTGCACAGAAGTGGCAACCATCTGCTGCCTCATATTATTCCCTCTTTTTCCACCTCTAAGGGATCTGCCTGTGCGTTAGGCAGTGTTAGTTTGTGGCAAGCCAGGTCCCTCTGCAGTCCATCAAACAGAGACCACACCCTGGGGTGACTGAAGTGGAATAGGGAATTAAGAGCACTACATGACATGGTTGCCACCAGTGTTCCCTCTAAGCTGAGTGAGTGTGAGCTAGGCTCCGGCTCACACATTTTTGTCTTGGCTCAGGAAGGATGACTCCTGAGAGCAAACTAATTTATGCAGTAGCCAAATCACTCACTGACAACATTAATGCCAGTAGCTCACAAAGTAGAATTTTTGCTCACAAGGCTCCACAGCTTAGAGGGAACATTGGTTGCCACTTCTGTTATTATTTGTTATTTTATGTTATCTTATGGTTTTGTTATTTTACGGTTTAAATTTTTGATAGCAAAGATGTTTATTTATTTTATTTATTTTATTTAATTCAATTTATACCCCGCCCTCCCCGCGTTGCTTGGGTCAAAGCAGCCATGTCTCTCTCTTTACATGGCTTTTCTTTGCAACCGTGAATTCAACCTCTCCTTTCTTCCCTTAACCGTTTCCCCAGACCTCACTGATTAGCTGCCGCCGCTCAGACTGGCAAAGTGAAACTGACCCATCTGGGCAAAACGATCCTGATAGTAAAATCTATGCTGGATCCTTTAGTTCAAATGAGGGGGTGTGATTTCAATTCGGCTGCTGTCACTCAGCATTTGTGACCTTGGGTCAGTCACAAGTTCTTTCAGAGCTGCTCTCTCAAGAGCAGTTCTCGAAAGAGCTCTCTCAGCCCCACCTACCTCACAGGGTGTCTGTTGTAGGGAAGGGAAAGGAGATTGTAAACTGCTCTGAGACTCCGAGTGAAGGGTGGGGTATAAATCCAATCTCTTTCTCTGTCTCTCCTTCTCTTCTTCTTTATTTTGCGGGCCAATGGGGTTTCGGGCTGTCCTCTTTGAAAGGTAGCTATAACCCCCTTTAACGTTTTGCCCTCTTTTATCTCTGATCACTTCAACCCTTTATGTCTTAGCTCTTGGGTGTGTGCATGTGATATTTTATTAAATTAGCTGAATGTATTAACGATATTTTCTTAATAAATTTAATAAAATATACTTCCTTTGCCGCTCCGAGGGGGTTCTGACTCAGCTGTAGTTTGAGGATGATCCCTAGCTTGTGCGCCTATTAAGCAAATGGTCTCTTAGCTAAATTCTCCCATCATAATTCATACAGAGACCAGGTGTTGTGGCTAACACTCCAGATGCCATGTCTACCAATATAGTGGAAAGGGGCGAATAGACCTGTTCTCCGAAGGCCTGGTTTGTCCCCATAGAGGACAACATTTTTCTGTAACGAAATTTGACTTGATTCTGTTTTCTCTTATAATGTTTAAATTTTTCTTAAAATATAGTTTAAAATAATTTATTCTGAGATTTTTACAATGCTATGGAAGTAATCTTCTAAAAAACTAATTTATGCGATAGTCAAATGTAGATGCTCACAACTTTAATGCTGCTCACAACACTGTGGAGCTTAGCGGGAACATTGGATGTTGCCGCTTTGCTTCTCATCGTGTTCTTTTCCTGGCCACTTCCCCATTGCTTATGCAAGCAGGACTTTAACCCTGTCCTAATGGAACCATATCTAATCTCTCAGCTGGTCCTTCCTTCAGCACCATCAAATAGATTTTTACCCTGCTTTAGAACTTATGATTTGAGTGTGTATGTAACTTGCAGCATTTTAGGGGCTGTGAGAATTATTGCGTCACAGGATGGCATTGGGGCTTATTAAGTATGTGAGAGCCACTCTTTCTTGTGGGATATTCCTGTGCAGCTGGGATAGTGTTTGACCGACCCAACCACATGGATGGGGGTGTGTGATCACATGGGTCCTGACCATGGAATTGTCCTCCCTCCAAGATCCATGTGGATGGGGTTTTTTTGATCATATGGGTCAAATTGTTATAATCCATTACTTCGTGCTATTTATTTTCTATTTGTTTCATTGTTCTCTTTGCTGCTGTGTTATGCCAATAAAGGTCTATGTATGTGTGTGTCATATGGGTCCTGACCATGGAATTGTCCTCCCTGCAAGATCCATGTGATCAACTGCTGGTTTGAACATTTGAATATTAGGTGTCCAGAAACTTGACATGGAAAAGCAGTTCTTTTATGCCTGTCTTATAGAGCTACTGTTAAGAACGTTGTCCATATAGCTAGGATTCTGGTTGAGGACGTTCCTTTTACATTCTCTCGTGACTTTGGGGGCACTGTCCGTGAGATTCCAAGTGAAGCAATCTCCCTGTTGACTTCTTGTTGCAGAAATATGAGAGGAACTGGTTTTGTAACGTATTGGGATATAAGTACAGATTTTTTCCTAGATTTAGTATTCCAGTTTATAGCTCCTTTCACTGAATGCGGTAAAGCAGTCTGTTTTAAATACATTGATTTCTGAAATAAAAATTAGTTTATGTTTTAAAATAAAAATTTATTTAACAATGTGATATATTTTTCTTCAATAGGTACAAAGTGAAGATAGCATCCTCCTTTTTGTTGTTGCTTGGACAATTACCGAGATTATACGTTATTCCTTTTATACCTTCAGTTTACTAAACCACCTTCCATATCTCATCAAATGGGCCAGGTAAGCAGACTGGATTTCAGAAGTCCCTGATTGCCAGGCTGGTACTTCATGGGAGTATGATTAGTGTTTCTGATTCAAAGAGAGAGAGCCAGTTTGGTGTAGTGGTTAAGAGCACGGATTCTAATCTGGGAGAACCAGGTTTGATTCCCCACTCCTTCACCTGCAGCTGCTGGTGAGACCTTGGTCATTCACAAGTTCTTTCAGAGCTGTTCTCGCAAGGGCAGTTCTCTGGAGAGCTCTCTCAGCCCCATCTACCTCATAGGGTGTCTGTTGTAGGGAGGGGAAGGGAAAGGAGATTGTAAACTGGTCTGAGACTCCTTTAGGTAGTGAAGGGCAGGGTATAAATCCAATCTCTTCTTCTCATCCATATTGAGTAACAAAAGTGAATGTTTGCAAATACATTGTGAGTTGTTGCTCAGTACTTGTAGTCAGGGGTCATTTAGTAGAAAAAGAGGCGCAGGAGCTCATTAGCATAACTCATTAGCATAACTTATTTGCATATGCCACACACCCTGGTATCACTGGAAGTGTGTCAGAAGGCAACACCCACTGCTCAGGCTCCACTGGACTGTTTTGGATTGCTAGCTATTGGGGGGGGGGTGCGCAGATCCTTGTGCTCCTCGTGGCTGCTGGGAGAAGGTGGCGGGTCTTGTTGCATGTGCCCGCCCCCTGGGCTTTTTACTGCCGGAGTTCTGCTCCTGCAGGAAATGACCCCTGCTTGTAGTCATCATAAATGTTGCAAGTGCAATACACATTCTCTAGGAGATGACTTGTAACGATTTTTGAAAGACCCTTGAGTGAATGGTATTCTCCTTTTTTTAGAAGGAAAAACAATTTGGAAATTTAATAAACGTATTAAATCCTCAGTTGCATTGTATTAGTAATCTTGTTTTGCAGACTTTTAGGGCACAGTTCACAATCTTAAACACACACACAAACAGATAAAAATGATTTTCATCGGAACCTGAGGAGATACAGATTAAAAGTGCCATCTTTGTGTTCATCACTTTTCAGGCCATGCCTGATTGCTCTTGATGCCCTAGCATACCTATTTTAACTAAATGGTAACAGTATGTAAGTTGACACTCCTCTCTGTCATTTTCTCATATCTGTAAAATATATTTTTATAAGATAGTGATCAAAATGAAGTGGAAGATGCAGGGTGACATCTTTTTAATGTGAAAATTGGGTTCAAAGAGAAACTGCAGAGTGGAATATTTGTGGGTGAAATATCCAGTATGCTATTTCTAAGCGGCAGGGGTTATTTCCTGCAGGAGCGCACAGGAGCGGAGCTCCGGCAGTAAAGAGGCCAGGGGGTGGGCACATACAAGCCCCACCCCCTGCTCCCAGCAGTCCTCAGTATGAGCAAGAAGCAGCCAAGTAAATTGCAGAGCCCCCGGCCCCTCGGTCCAAAACAGTTTAGTGGCACCTTTAAGACCAAGTTTTATTCAGGTACAAGCTCTCCCTCCTCTGCGAGGACAGATCTGCACGTTCCTCCCCCCTCCCCCCCATTAGCTAGCAATCCAAAACAGTCCAGTGGAGCCTAAGCGGTGGGTGTTGCCTTCTGACATATTTCTGGTGATGTCAGGGGGTGTGGGATATGCAAATGGGTTATGCTAATGAGCTCCTGCACCTCTTTTTCTACGAAAGGCCCCCTGCTAAGCGGTACACTGGCTTGTTTTCCAGGCTGATGGCCGCCACTCTAAGGACAGCACATGTTGCATTCAGAGTATTCAACCTTGGTTTCATTTGGAAAGGAGCTATTTTCATCTTGCAAATCTTGGCTTTAGTTAATTAACTGTTTTACCTGAGAATTCAAAAGGCTCCAGGCTCAGCCAAGTAATTAAATATAACCAGGTCATGTTGAAGAAATAATACTTATGACACCCAGGTTTCAGCCTGTCTCTCTGAATCTTATGCCTGTCTAAATGTTTTGTTTTTAGGTACACATTGTTCATCGTACTGTATCCAATGGGAGTGTCAGGTGAATTGCTCACAATATATGCTGCTCTGCCCTTCGTCAGACAGTCCGGCTTGTATTCCATTAGTTTACCTAACAAATATAACTTCTCATTTGATTATTATACATTCCTGATCCTGGTTATGATGTCCTATATTCCACGTAAGTGCACTTCTCAGTTGCATTATTTTGTTGTATGAGACATAATATGTAAAAGAAGCTTAAAATGCCTGTAAGTAAACACTTGTGTTTCATAGTTTGTCCTGTTTCAGTCTTCTTGCATTGACAAGCATTAAACATTAGTGGGGTTTAAAAATGAAAATTAACAGTGAACGCATGTGCATACATCCTGCTTTTCTCATTGTCTTGATTGAGGGCAGGAGTGGGCACACAAATACAGTCCTGTTGTGTCAGGTTGCACAAGTGTCATGCAGATGTACATACTTGCTCCTGTAACTTGTGGAAGATTCTCTTTATCTTACTGTCCTTTAGGCAGAGGGAATTTATGGTAGTTTGAAGAGTGTTAAACCTATTCTTAAATATTTTTAAGGAAGTTGCATACAAAGTTGTGAGGTTTCAGCTTTGGCTGATCTTTGATGTAATATAGCAAAGGAATTGTATTAAGTATGTCTTTTACATTCAGCCACTGTATTTCTAATGAAAAACCCTTAGGCTTGTTGCATATACAGTAAAACATAATAATGGCAAGTTTATCAACAATTAATACTCAACTTGTTGACACTGTATGATAGAAATGTAGGTTTCCAAAGTGTACAAAGCCCTTGAAATTCTTGAAAGAAGGATGGGATATGTAGACTGATCTTTTTTTGTATTCTATTCCAGTGCCTTCTTGAGTCCAAGGAACCACACATGTTTTACATTATGAAGTAGTTTGCGTAGAAACAATAACTGGGAACACAGAGCAGTTAGTGCAAGCCATAAAGTTTTTTGTTCTTTGAGTGAAAGAAATCATATTAGAAAGCAACTGATAGCTTTTATTACATTTTTCTGGTTTTGTACATTGATCTTAAGGCAACCGTCCTAGAAAGAACCAATGTGTGATTAGAGCAACAAAATCCAACATCTGTTTTCTATGGCTTTCTGCTTCTTGCCAGTGGGGAAGGTCGTATGTGTGCAGTACTCATTTTATTTAAGCAAGTACAGGTGAACAGCACTGATTTCATATAATTCAGGTGGATATGATGTGAAGGATTGAAAGAATTTTTAAATTCAATTAAATGTGGAACCATTAATGTTGACCAGGCATACAAATTAAATTGCCTGTTTGATACCACTAACTATGCCCAGACCTTGATTTTCAGGAGAATGAATGAGAATGACTTTTGGAACTTTAAACCATGCTATTTTCCCCATGAAATCTTTATTTACTGAACTAAATTTGGGTTAGGTTGATCAGTTATGATTGTACTGCTTATTATTCAGATAAAATTGTGGTACTCTTCATCCTGAAATTAAAGAGAGTTCCGGAGGCTTGGCGTAACTTATCTAATAATCTAGCCTGTTGTTTTTCTGTAGGATATCAAGGATATGTTTTATTGTTGAATAAACTGCCCAGGCTCAGGTGTTGTGTGTGTGTGTGTGTGTGTGTTAAAGAGGCTAGTGCTTATGAGTAATACTGGAGAATGGTGCACAGGAATCTTTTTAGTTTCCTGAGTTCTAAACTTACCTGTAATTGCTGTGGCACCACAGGAGGTTCCACCCTTTTACTTGTGAGGACTAGTGGTGGTGGTAGTGATGTGGGGAAGTGGCTGCTGATCCCTAGAACAAAAGCTGCTATGACCTTATTAGAGATGGCGCCTTGGGAAAATTTACATGTCCTAGTGTCTGGGGTACTTCTGTATAGCAGCGCTTATTCTTGAAGCATAGTGTGTACCGGGTGGATGTGTGAAAGCGAGAGAAATTATTCTCCATCTTGGAAGCACACCGGACTATAGTGGTCACTTTGCATCGAAGGCAGGCATTATGAATCATGAAGGTTCATATTCCAAGCCAAAGGATTACAAACTTTGGTGAAATTGCTAGTATATTTGGCTTTTTGGACTTTGAGTGCTTACATAATTCTGCTGTGTTTTCAGTCTTTCCTCAGCTGTATTTTCACATGCTACATCAGAGAAGAAAAGTACTTTCACCTGCTGAAGAACAGAAGAAAACAGAATAACTCATGGTGGTGTTCAGAACTATGCACAAACCTCAAAACAAGCAAACTTTCAGAAGTCTTATCAACAATGCAGCGAATTAAACCAAGAAGTCAAAAAAGTTTGGTAAATTACTAAGGATATACCTTACAGCACTGATAACTTTTTCGACAAAATCATCCACCCGTGGAGTTGCATTTTCAGCATGTCCATATATGGTGACATTCAAATATATTTATCGTTATTTTACCTTTAATTTATTTGCTAAAAACTTCCATTATAGCCTGTTTATGTTGATGGTATGAGTGATAAAGTACAGTGCTTAAATTGGGATTATTTTATTTAATGCTTGATTGCATGTCAGATCATGTGCATTGTTGTAACTATGTTGCCTGAGATGCTTTAGCAGTTTGTCTGAACCACAGTGGGCCCACAAAAAGTCCCACAAAAGACTTGGCTTACTCTGTGTGTGTGGATGAAGGGCGCAGTCCTACAATAGGCATTACAATGCATTACAATTACTTCACCAACTGGTTGCATAATCTGCACAACTGAATTTTTTGCAGTGGGGCCTTAAAGTAGTGCAGTGTTGCACAAGACTGTGTGCGCTAAAGGTGCAACAGTTTTATTACCTCAAACTTGGATACTCTGTTACTGTTCTTGAATGATTTTTCCTTCTTTTTCCTAAACAGAGCCCCAGTTTTATTGAAGTTCACACACACAAACCAAATTTGTAACTGACACAGAAAAAGATCACTTGGGAACTTTTTTATGGCTTTGAATTAACTGTTCACATATATTGTGTATGTTTTGTGAAATTTTGTAAGCATAAGCAGAAATTTAAAGGTTTAATGAACAGGTTCTGTAAGGAGTCTTTTCCTAAAATGAGCTTGTTTTGAGAATGTTTTAACAGCACCATTAATTTGTTCCTAAACGCAGTATTAATGCTAACAAATCCTATTGACTTCAGAGTTTACTCATTCAAAGAACTGCACTTTTATAACAGCACCAGACAAGAGATTGTGCTCTGAATGTTTTTTGATTAAATAAACTTTTTAGAACCGTCTGGGAGGAGATGCTAATTATTTCTTATTGGCTCCTTGTTCACTAACAAAGAGAAGAAAAACTTAACCATTTCTTAAAATGGCCAAGGTTGTCTGCTGTTTTAAGGTAGGAAACCCTTACTGTTTATCCCAAGTTGTACTACAATAGAAGGATTTTGTAGCTATGCCTATTCGTGACTGACCTCTGTACTCAGTGGGCGTATTTTCTAGAAATGTACCTAGCCTTCCAGACATGCTCGTTCGTTCTGTTGCCCTCCCGCTTCATTGCAGAGGACACACTCTCTTTTTGTTCCATGGCCGGAGGAAGCATCATGGTTCTCGCTGAGCTTTTTTTGAACATTCTGCAGGACGCATTCCGCTCTGTTTCCTCCTCTTCTGAGGCCCCGTGCAGTCATACCTCCCCCTCTCCCGAATCTCCCATTGTACTATTCGAACACTGTATCTCATTGTGTCCTTCTTTACCATAGTTGTACTCAATCAGTGGTCATGGGAGGGTGCTCCGTAAGCCAAAGTACAGAATATGTGATGGAACATTCTTGGGGCAGTTTAAAGGAAAACGCATGGGCATCTGTTTCACGTTCAACCCTTTATTGCATGTTTCTTTGATTAATCCTCCTCCGCCGCTTGGTTATGTGACACTGCCCTTCCAGGCTGTAGGTTTTCATGGTAAGGCAGGGAAGATTTTTGCATTCTTCACTTTCAGCTTAGCGTACCAACCCTGAACTGAAAAGTATCGTCTGCCTGTGCCCTGGGGCAGTTAGGTTATAGCACGTGTATATTTATAGATGCTAGTGGAAGACGGCATAGACAGCTGGCTATTAACTGATCTGGTCAGCACATGCCTATCCCAACTGCATCCAACTCATGCCTATATGAGGGCTACCCAAGTGAGGACTCTGTCAGTTTAGTTCATCTCCCACAATCGCCCTTGTTCCGTTGCATTTGCAACACTGCATACTTGTCTGACAATACAGCCCTACACGCCTCTGCATCTTTATTTTATTCCTGCAGCTGGGCAAGAAATCTTGGCATCCTTCATGCCAAGTGACTTTGACTTCAAAAGGGAGGGTTCATTGTCTTCTCGGTCTCTGTCCTTTTCAAAAGTAAAAAAGCATGACCTCACCAGATATGCTGTGGCAAATATAACAACGATGACCTTGTAGCACGCTGGGTAACGAGCCCATCAAGAACATGTAGAAGTACAGCCGCACTTACCACACTTTATAAGGGCTTCATGCTGGTATACTTGGTCTTTTGCTTTTGCTCTACATACACCCTTCTAGCAGGAGCAAAGAGAAACTACGGAACTCTGTGCGGCCTTAGCCAAATAGTGCAACCAAGTTTCCACCATCAGCACTACCCACTTTAGCCAAATCCACCATGTAGCAGTCAGCTGCCAGTCTTTAGTTACTCTAAATCCCCAGTCCCTCTGTAACTGCTGTGATGCATATTCATGGAAAGTATGTATTTAGCTGCAGCCAGTCTTGGCTTCCAAGCATACTATACCCTTATTACCTCCCTTCTGCTGTACTTGAAGGAAAATACAAGAATACTCCTTTCTCAGAAAGGCTTTGTACCTGCCCATTAAGGGAGGTTGAGACTACAGAGCACATGTTGTTTAGATGTCCGTATTATAAGGTGGCACATAATAAAATCACTCTTCTGACTGAACAAATTCCAGGTCTTTTCGAAAAAAGCTAGATTCGAGTTTTTTCTATCTGATAGAAACCCCAAAATTACCCACCAAGTAGCCAGTTTCTGTATGGTGATACTCAGATCACGGAAACTCTAAGGTAGCTAGTTAGATATAGTTGTTTGATATTAGATTACATTTTAATTTGCTTTTAATGTGTCACTGATGTAACTTAAAATCTTGGAATATTGTAAAAGTGTACTTCTTTTTCTATGACTGGTCTAAGGACTGCAGAAATAAATTGAAATACCCTTTTACGTATGTGGCAGGATACACACATTTATCATGTATCTGTGTTACATTTTTAGGTGCCCTGTTGAATGGTGTATGTTGAGGGATTCTGGGGGCCAGGTCCCTTTCCTGGGACACACACACCCCCGGTTCCCCTGAGTTGTTTTGTTGGTTGGGTGGAGACTCCTGGGAAACAGAACTGAAGATTCAACTATAGTATAGAAATTAAAGTAACATAGGTTTAACAGAGGACTGAGGCTCAATCCTAGCCCTAATTCTGTGACAGTTTCCTCCCTTTGAGGCTCAGTCCTCTGCCTCATTTACAAAATTGAATACATTTACTACATGGTGGCAGGAGCTGCGGTGGCTCAAGTGGTTAAGACGCTGAACTGCAGGCTGTGGAAGGTCAGTAGTTCAGCAGTTCGAGACCCGGGTGCCGCCTGACGGAGTGAGCTCCCGTCACTAGCTCCAGCTCCTGCCAACCTAGCAGTTCGAAAGCAAGAAAGTGCAAGTAGATAAATAGGTACCACTTCGGTGGGAAGGTAACAGCGTTCCGTGCGCCTTGGTGTTTAGTCATGCCGGCCACATGACCACGGAAACGTCTTCGGACAGCACTGGCTCTTCGGCTTTGAAACGGAGATGAGCACCGCAACCCTAGAGTCGGACTCGACTGGCTTTCGAGCAAGGGAACCTTTACCTTTTTACTACATGGTGATGGATACATGGGTAGGGGAGCTGGAAGGAACCATGATACAAAAACCCAGTCAACAACCCATGCCGCAATAAAATATAAAGCTAAATTTACCAGTTATTATGGAATCAAATCTCAATGTGTTCAGATAACACAGGAATAAGAAATCTATCTTTTGATTCCAGACTTGGCAATAAATCACTTGGTAATTTTCTTCTTTTTCCACTCAATAATCATTCCACTTACTTTTATCCTTAATAATAATACCCATGTATGTTGACACTAATAATGACAGAATTATAGGTTAAATAATGTTTTCCAACAATTCTTGTTTTTGAAAAAACTATAAAATACATCTCATTTTCTTCTGGTTCTATTAAACTGAATAAATTATCATACCATTCCTACATTTAACAATAATAAAACTTCAAATAATACTTTCAAACCCAGGAACTAAAAAAAAAAAAAGATAAATTGTTCATAAATTGTTTCCTTTTTCTTTCTATTGAGTCTATGTAGAAGCAGGAAGTTGAAGAAATGTTCTAAACTGAGCAATGTCATAGACAGTTGGTAGATCTATGTAACAAGCCTTGCAGTTCCCATAATCCAAACATCAGCAGAAAACACACACAAAAATTGAAAACAAGAATAGGTAAAATTCAGATAAGCAACGTTCTCTTTGAGTATGTGGTTCAATTATCTGCACTGCGTCCTAGAATCTATACTTTGTCACATTTGGATTTCTAGAATGGAACCCACTGTTAAGAATGGCAGTTGCCCCTTCGACATAATAAGATATAGGGCATTCGTACGCCCCCCCCCCACACACTGCGCTGGCCAATTAGGCACCCTCCTGCGCGCGGGCTAAAGCCAGCAAACTGTTTCTAGGCGAAGCTGGGAACTGTCCGGCTCCCACGGCTGCCTGGAAAGGCAGACAACACACACCCCCACCTGCACATCGCTAGAGATAAGCGTTTCGGTGCAAAGCATAGACAGGAATGCGAAAGCAATTTACACAGACTCTGACTGAGCATCCCAACCCCCATGGCAGCATAGCTGACACCCACGTAGTCCAGCGGAGATTCGGGTTCAGTGGATTTCTCCCCCCCCCCCAAGCAAAGTTCAAGAACAATTAGCCTTCAGGAACAAACACACTGTTTTCCACATTGCTGTACTCCTGCTCTCGCCCTAGGATTTGGATTTCTGGATCTGTGATAGGTGCATTCCATGGGTGGGAGGTGAAGACTGGGGTCTTTTCTCTGCCACTTACATAGCTCTGTTAGTGGTGAGGCACCCGGAACCTTTCCCCCTTAGCAATAAGCAGACTTCTTTTGAAAAAATCTGCCCCGGGCATTCAGGGTGGATGTCTGGTTTTCTGTGAAATCAGGCTGAAATAACAAACTTGATTATGAAATATTTTAGATATTGTTGTTGTTGTTGTTCAGTCGCACAGTCGAGTCCGACTCTTCGCGACCCCGTGGACCAGCTCCCGCCAGGCCTTCCTGTCTTCCACTATCCTCTGAAGCTTGCTCAACTTCATGTTCGTTGCATCTATGGCACTGTCTAACCATATCATCCTTTGCCGTCCCCGTCTTCAATCTTTCCCAGCATCAGGGTCTTCTCCAGTGAGTGCTCCCTTCTCATTTGGTGGCCAAAGATATTATATCCAGTCCCATATTGAGTCTAAAAAAATTCAGACAAGGGGGGAAAAAAAATCAAAAATAGTCATTCAGGTCGTTTCTAATAAACAGGATCCCAAAATTAACAGAAAGAAGAAGGTTCTTTCTTCTCCATTGGGTGGCACTCCAGACACTCTTCAAAGTTCTTACCTTTGAAACAAAACAAAAATTCCAAACATAATCAATAACTTCAGCAAGATCAGGTTGCAGGTAGTGTTCCCTCTAAGCTGAGTTAGTGTGTGAGCTTGCTCACAGTTTTTTAGCCTCTGACTCACACATTTTTGTCTTAGGAAGGATGGCTCCAGAGCAAACTAATTTATGCAGTAGGCAAATCGCTGGCTCACAACTTTAATGCCAGTAGCTCACAGAGTAGAATTTTTGCTCACAAGACTCCACAGCTTAGAGGGAGCATTAGTTGGCAGGCAGTTCTTATTTTAGGCAAAGGCGTTTAAAAAGAGTTCATTGCTATTTGGAAAGCTGTATTGGTGTACAGGTGCACTTCTACTAAGCAGATTTCTTCTTGAATCCTTTGTACAATTATTGGAGAGGACCAGGGGTAAATTTCTGGCAAAATTCTGTAGTCCAGGTGCCCATCATGATACCTCCCTTTTTTCTCACATGAATAATATGAGTCATGTGCAAGAATAATGTAAACATAAAATACCAGCATGTCTCCCCAGAAAACCCTAATGTACAATTAAT